ACTCCTGCTCCCGACCCTCAGGGCTTGGTTCCCCCTTTCAGCTGTTTGTACAGGAGGCTTGTTGAACATGGATCTAGTCCTTTAGCTCTACCATCTGAACCATTTTCAGTTCAAGCCTGGAGACTGCGGTTTAGGTAAGGGCCAAGGCCCATCCCCTCTGTTCTTTGCAACAATACCAACAGCCACAAGCTGCCCAGCCCTCTCCTTGCTGCAGGGTCTTCCCAATCCTAGGCACAGTGGTATCTCTACTTCATACAGCATCCCTGGGATGTTAGCACAGCCTAATGTGCTCCACGTTGGTTAGGCTAGTTCCCCAAGTTCCTGCCCTGTCTGAGTTCCCCGCCTTGGTTTCACTTGATGGTCTGTGACTCAGGATATGTAAGCCAAACGAACACTTTCCTCCCCAAGTTGCATTTGGTCATGGTGTTTCATCACAGCAACAGCAACCGTAACTAAGACAGGCCTTGTCAAGCAGTAACTATTTAGTGAATGTCAAGGTGTGTCCACTGGTAGTGGCAACCAGATTGCCACTGAGCTTGTGATGTCACCATTTCTGCTACAGCAGCAGTGGGAGAAGCTGTGTAGAACTCAGATTGCAGACAAGGCCCTGCAGTGACTCTCTCGACCGTAGGCTGTATCAGGAGACCAGGCCTTGCCGCTACTGCTATGCAATTCAGCTAACCCTACTTACGAAACTCTTCAGTGGGTGGGGTACTTACTCCCATCCTGGTTATTACCCACCAGATCGCCCTTCTTGAACCATTGTTACTATCAAAAATGCCTCCGGTTATCGATGACTATTCCCTAGGGGACTCAAATCACCTCTGGGAGAGAACCAGTGATCTAGAAGATTCTGAGCATGGGGTCTATCACGACCCATTGTCAAACATTCCTAGACTTTTGTCTGGTGGTATTTAGAGGCCTGTTGGCCTTTAGGGATGAAAGTCAGTGTTCCCTGTCCTGGTAACTGGGGTGCTATGTGGTTGTCCTACTTCTCCTGGGTCAGCAGCTACTGCTGGAAATAGCTGATAGCCAGGAACTAAGGAGGCAGAGTACAAAGTTACTCAGCATTCTGATCAGGAGGGAAAGAAATCCACCTTCCCCCTGTGGCTGGCTACCCAGGAAGCTCCTGCTTTTTCTCAGACCACATGCAGAGAAGGGAGCCTGGGCCATCCTTCTAATGAGGCTGCCTAGCATGGTGTACAGAGCAGACCCCTGCCCTGCAGGGGCTGAGACAGAGTGTCAGCCTTTGAGATGTGAGAGCATAGGGGCCGAAGGTTGACTAGCCAGGGGATGGTTCTCCAATGCAAGAAGCTTTGGGAGGGACTGACAGAGGGGCGTTCAGGATCCATGGGTGAAGAGCAAACATCTCTCTTCCATCATACAGTTCCCTAAAAGAGTAAGCACTATAAAAAAAGACAGGTAATGTGTATGATACTCTATCTTAATTCTCCGCAAAGTCCTGTTTTAGAAAACAAAGCCACAGAAGGAAAAGAATGTAAGAAAGACCTGTGTGAATGTGAATTTTTATTAAAAGTGTGATCTTAGTGTGTCACGGTTCTCAGGAAATGAATGTCAAAATGGGAGGCATGAAACATGGTCTAACCCTCCATCCAAATTAAAGTTGCATAAGCTAACAACTTGGTCAAAGCCAAGCAGTGTCACACTACTGCCACCTTCTGGTCATGTCCTAAAATTGGCAGTATAATACCCATAGATAAAACTAACAACAAATTTTCCCAAACAAATACCCCAAACCATCAAATTAAAACAAAGACACTGAAGTTTTAGTCCTAATCCACAGAGACAGTGTGATTGCTGGAGCCCTTCTGTTATCAAATGCAGGGTCGCTGACCTTTCTCGGATGCGTGCAGCATAAGATAACAATAAAACAAAGTGAAGATGATCACCAGAGGAATGGTGCATTAAAATAGCCATGTACAACATTTGCATAATGGGAAAAATACTTGAAAATTAGCAAAACTTAGGTACTTCCTTATCAGAACCACTGACATAACCATAGATCCTAGCAGGAAGGCATACAACTGACTGGAGGCCCACTCTACCCCAATCATGCAGGCACGCAGGTACAAATACACATACACAGACGTCAGGTATGACTTCTCTGAAGAAACATGAAAGCCCAAATGGTGTTTGTGCTCAACACTGCCAAAGCTGCATGAGCCCAGGAGCATGAAGGGGGACTGCAGAGAGCTAAAAAGTTATATGGAAAAATGTATTCACCATGGCAGCCATACATTGAGACAGAAAATAAATTGTTAGACTGAAGCCATCTGTGGAAGGGTGGTACACTCAGAACACCCTGACAGTCGGGGAGGAGGGGTGAGGGTGCCGCCGCCACAGCAACGGCCACTGCTGAGGCTATTAGCCAGGGCTGGCACAGCACTTGCAAGGGATGGTATGGATATGGGTATTTGTGGCAGTGTTGGGGGAGTGGCATACAGGGTCAGACACTTCGGAACAATAAAAGACTAATGCACAGGGGCCTTGACATTGGTTCTTGCCCTTGGCACAGAGGTGATGCATCTAAAACAAACATCTTGCCTTGACATGTGCGATGACAACCAAGTTTGCTATAGATGGCCCTCCAGGGCCCCCTGCTTGCAGCAGGAACACTCACTTCTAACACTTCCAGAGAAAATTACTCGTAAGAAGATGATAAATAAAAAATAAAAAATAATGGGCTTCCAGTAAGGGTTGAGGAAACCCTCAGCCAATAGCAGCTGCAGAGATAATTGTTCTGAATCTATCAATAATGCTAAGCTCCTCTTCATTGACTGCAAACACCAATTTCTTTCACCCAGGATTATAAGTTGGTGTTCCCGGGCTCACTACTGCCATTACGGTGATAAACAGTTGAGACCACAACAGGATCTGACATGTAGATCAATTCTGGGTCCATAAAAAGTCTACACAAGAGGTTCCAGGACAGGAATTTACAGCCACCAGTTTTTTATTCTCTCTTGCTGCAAAAATTACTTCTGTCAAACACTTAGGAGAGTGAGGAAAAATGTAAAAAAATTAATTTTTCATGTACTACTGGAACAGCCTTTTTCAGTGCAGAAGTGCAAGACGAATATACTCAGCGTTTAAAAAATTACACGGCGCAGCATGTGGTACTTAGTGGAAGAGGGATCCAATCCCCTGTGTTGCTCGCAAGCCAGCAGACAGCAATTTGAAACCCTGAACAGAGCTGTCTGGATTTTCTCGGAGGGCAGATGCCGGGCTCACGTTAGCAATGCCAAATTATATTAGACGTTTAATTTTAAACCTCAGGTATTTAATGTAAAGCTCTACAACAGTAATAGCCATAAAGCAGTGGGGCATTCCATCTCACAGAATGGGTTCCTCTTGCCTTCTCCTCTTAATTTAGCCAGAGCCTCCTTCCTCCAGTTTTACCCACTACAAAGTCATCTATCTAATTAGGAGTTGCTCGTAGCTGCTTAGAGGCAGAAGCCCCAGGGGTACCTGTATGTCAAAGGGGAAAGATGGAAAAGTTCTCTGAAGCTGAAATCTTAATTTAGGGTGGACAGGAGGGCAGAGCAAACAGACTTCTAGTGCTGGGAAGAAGATAAGCCCTTCACTCTGCTGGTGGAGGTCAAGTCTAATGGTCCTGGGCCCTGCCTGCACTGCAGCCAAGTGGCAAGTTCCTGGTACCCCTGATATACAGACCAGAGACATGAGGTTTGTGTGTGTAGGGGGTGAGTTGGTGGATAAAGTGATTATACAAAGGAAGGTCTTGTATCAACCAAGTGAAAGGGAAAACATGACAGAGAGTCCTCACACTCGTCTCTTTGGTTACTGCCATGAAGGACAGAAGGGTAATGTCTGGCGATGAGAGGTCTCGTAATGCACTTAACACACATTTTACTTAACTGTCCCATAGGATTCTGAGCTTCTGTGTTCCTCAGAAATGGTGTGGGTTGAGGCTGGCCCCTGATGGATCTGCACACTAAAGGTGGGATGGGACTAACCAGAGGGAGAGACTACATGGTAACCCCGAGTGTTTGAGAGCAGCCTGGGCTCCTGCCCTTCTAGCCAATTCCTGGAAACTGTCTGTCAGATAGTCCTTGGTTCAGACCACCTTTCCTGATCCCACTTCTCTCCTGCGTTTGGGCAGGCTTGCTCGGAAGCATTTGCTTGGCCCCGTCTGCTGGAACACTGTGGAACAATCAAAAGACGGTGTTTACCCAAAGCAAGCGTCCTGTAGCAGCAGCTGGTGGGTCCACAGGGAAGACCTGACGTGGAATCTTTTAATTAGAACAAATTATGCTAAAATGACTCTCAAACCCTGTCTGATAGATTACATACAACAGTGGGAATTCCCTTAAATACCGGTGAACAGGCCACAGACAGAGTGCCACAGGCAAAGCAAGCTGCACCAGCCAGTGCATGGGGCACAGTGCATAATTCATGTTGTGACGCATACGTCAAAAGGCAGTTTCCAGGGTGCCACATCTGTCCCCCAAGAAGCAGCCACACTTGTCACAAACTATGAAAATCTAGGAGAGATGATGGCAGAGGGAATTCCCCAGAACTTAGAAGCTACACCAGGAATCTTGGAAGACTAAGAGGCAGAATGAACAGACGGGACAGTACGAACTATGTGCGAATGGCGAGATGCTCGCCATCCACGGAGGGCAGAAGACTGGTACGAGACAGCTTTCAACTTCACCATGTCTCTGTTGCAGAACCACAGGTAAGATACTTGTCCCCTCCTCAGCCTCAACTTCCAAAGCTGACCAGGGAAGAGGATTCAAGGTCCATGCCCTGAGCAGAGAACAGATGACTGATGGGATGTGCATGAGACAGGAGACCAAGGACAAAGTGCTCAGATGACTGGTGAGACATGTGTGCCACTGTCAGAGCAGCCCCATGGCACCATGCTCCCCGTGGAGCATGGATGCCCTGGGCACTGAGCCCAGCCCCTGGCTTTCACAGAGGACCTGGCGATGGCCTCGGTCTGCGCCCACTCTTACCACTGCTGATGGCTGAGTTTGCAATGACTGTAGCGTCACTCCACTGGTCGGCACTGGAGACTGAGTAGGAGCGCTGATGCATGCCATCGGGCCGGCTGTTGAAGGAGACCAGGCTGATGCCGCTTGCCATCTGAGACCCAGACGTACTAGTGACATTCCCTAGGAATAAACAAGTCAGATGAACACCACGACGGACTGCAGACCACAGAAGCCAGCACGACCTCGTCTAGGGGGCTTCACGCTGGCACACACTGGTACCTGACCTTTGTGCATCGTGAAGTATAAGATTATGAGGAAGAAAAGGGAGCCGTGAACGCCAATGGTGCCCCGCTGAGCCCGGGGAAGGAAGGCTGCAGACACTGCCCACAGAACGGTTACAAAGACGAGTGGCCCTGCTACAATCTCAAAGACAAGAGAACCAGTGAGTCCAGCAAAAGAGCCACCACAGGACAAAAAGAGCACCACACAGGCTCACCCACTGGGCGCCAACTACTGGGTCCAAGGGACGTTGTTGATAGGGCAGCTACCCCTTATGATCAGCACATAGCAAGTCTCCAGAGGCGCCACAGTGGAGATGGGAACCCTGACTCCTGACCTTATAAAGATTCTGCAGAACAAAAATGTCACCCCAGTGGCTTCGGATCTCACACAGACAATGAAGAAAGATAGTTCTGTTGTAGGCTTAATGATTTGAGTCAGCTGCTCAACATTAAAACACATTATTGGTCATACCAATTTTAGACTCAAAATGTAATTAGGTGCTTTCTTCTAAGGCTAAGCCAATCATGCCCACAGCCTGTGGATGTGTCTGTTAGAGAGACAGGAATAGAGGGATAGGCGAATCTTTGGAGATATTGGCTTTTATTTTTTATTTTTTAAAGAAAGGGTTTCTCTACATAGCCCTGGCTGTCCAGTAACTCACTATGTAGACCAGGTGGCATCAAATTCACAGAGAAGGCATGCATCACCATGCCTGGCTGCTGGTTTCCTAATTTTTAATTTTCCTAGTTGTTCTGGGTTCAGAACCCAGGAAGTTCTAACCTGTTTCAGTGGAAGGTTTTCATGGGGCGTGGCTGTTCAGTGAGTGGGCCATTAGCTGTTCCCAAATCTGGCCAACTTTCAGATTTTCTCCTGGAAAACTAGGGGCTTAAAAAAAAAATCAGGCTTCTGATTCTGTAAGGGACAGGGCTGGAAAAATTTGTGTTCTCATGCCCTCGGGCACACACACGTGAACATCACGAGAACATGTACACGGGCACACACTGGCAAGGTGAGTCCTTTGCTGAGAGGCAGCATGGAACAGAACACCACACATGCTAAGTGAAGCCTGGACTGCTGACTGTCTCATTGCTACAACACAGCACCAGAAGAAAGCCACCTAAGGGAAGAAATTCACCTTTGGCTCGCCTCTGAGGGTCCAGTCCAGCAGTCACATTGTAACTCCAGGTCCAGTCCATCGGTCACATTGTAACTCCAGGTCCAGTCCATCGGTCACATTGTAACTCCAGGTCCAGTCCATCGGTCACATTGTAACTCCGGCCCAGAAGCTGAGCACCACAAGTGCTAGTGCTCACTGGGTCCTCCAGACTGATTCGGTCTGGGGATACAGCCCGTGGAAGAGTAAAGCTCATGTGTGTGAGGGGGCTCTGGTCAAAACCTCAGGGCTGGCCTGCCTCACCTGTTATGTTCTGAAGGCATAAGTGTCTGAACACCCTGGAAAGGAACCACACTATTCTGAGACCCATGTTCTGGGTGACAGTGCCATGAATAACAAGACCCTGCTCTTGTCCCACTCCTCCTAGAAGTTGGGAGGGGCCACTGTTACCAAGGAGACATTACACACAGCTGCTGGGATTCTTCACATGCCTCCTCTGAGGACACCCTGAAGCTGCCTCTTGGTAAACTCCTTCCCATAGTACAGAGACAGCATCCTCCGGAGTGGGTGAGGGCTCCCTCCACAAGAAACAAGAGCTGTGCTCTGAGCCTGTGCCAGCCATGTTCCTGCTGTACCACCTCTGCCTGGCTGTTCCCCTGGGGCCACCCACATGGGCTGTGTCCATTGCCTCTAGGGTCTCAAGAGCAAGGCTCAACTAAGAACGTAGGCAGGGATATAAAGGAGGGGGGCAGTGAGAATCAAGGTTCCAGCTCTGAGGTTGTTTCCTGGGCCTTCCTTAAGCTGGCTGGCTGCTTCTCTGCTGGCACCATTCCCACCAGCTCGGGTACTCACACTTTCCCTGGGCACCCTAAGGTCACATACAGACCCTTCTAGGCTGTATTTATAGAAGAGCCACCACATGCTACACCAGAGTCTCCCCCGATGCTCTCCCACTTCTATCTCATGAGGTCCTTCAAGATAGAGGCTGTGGGGCACAGCTAACACGACAGAAAAAGAGCAGCGTTAGACTCAGGATGTGGTGGGGCACACCAGGAACCACAGTGCAGGAGAGGTAGAAACAGGATGACAGTGAGCTCCAGGCTAACCTGGGCTACAAGGAGAGTTTCAGGCCAGCCTGGGCTAGGAAGATCCTTCTTCTCAGTACAAAATGAAATAGGTTGCATGCTCAGGGAAAAGGGGAGAGCCTCCTCTTTGGTCTTCCAGGTCCTCTGAGTCTACCCAGCCTACAGAGACTCCTGCCAATTAGCAACATGTCAAGATGATTCTGCCTACATGTGTTTTTATGCCAGCTTTCGTCTACAAGGCCCAAACACCTAGGAAACTCAAAATGAATTTGTCCAGTTTTGGTCCATGATGATAATGCTCAACACCACAGCCAAGGTTTTTTTTTTTTTTTTTTTTTTTGTCCATTTTCTAACAAGGATGCTGTGATGGTCAGCTTTCAATCATCAATTTGATACACTTCAGAATCACTTGGGAAGGTAGTTTTAGTGAGGGGTGGCCAGGGGTAGCCTGTGTACATCTGTGGGGGGATTGTCTTAACTGCCTTAATTGATGTGGGAAGGGCTTTGGGCCCTGAATTGCAAGCAGAACACATGGAGTGTGCTGAATAGGAAGATCGGGCACACTCATCTGTCTCTGCTCTTAACTGTGGCTCTGATGTGATTAGACAGATGCTTCAGGTTCTCTTGCCTTGACTTTCCTGCAACGATGGACGGTTAGCTGGAGCTGCGAGCTGAAACAAACCCTGTTAGTGAGGGCACTGTATCACTGCAACAGAAATGAAACTAACAGGCGTCCAAACTCTTAACACTGTCATCTACAAAGTTTGCACTTGAGAATGGGGTAATCACGTTACAATAAATAAATATTACTGCCAAAAAATCCAGCCCCCCACCCCCAAAAAAAAAAAAAAAAAAAAAAAAAAAAAAAAAAAAAAAAAAAAAAAAGCCTAAGTAAAGGATACCCAAGTCTTTCTTACTGTCTATGGAAACAGGCCTTGGAGAAAAACTTTGGTCTAGATAGGAAGTCCATCTGAACTCAAAGGATCAGGAAAACATTCAAATAGAGATACCTGAAGGACTCACTTAGGATTGCCAGTGCTTTGTCTGGTGGTTGGATGTCAAACTGCTGGAAAATGAAGGCAGATTTTCTTAGTGAACGTGCTACAGAAAGCACAGGCGAAGGTTGCTCATGCATCCCTGACTGCTCCTCTCAATTGCGAACCTCCTGCTGTTTGTCAAATGGAATTTAAGCACAATCTAGATGTAGTAAGAGGGTGGCGAGGCAGCTCTGGTGTTTGGCACAAAGCTCTCCTTCTAGAGGAGGGAGTCCCCAGGGAATCAAACAGGACCTTAGGTGGACAAGGACTCCCTAGCCACCCTGGCTGCTCTGAGAAAGCAGGCACTCAGAAACCCTCTCATTTTACCAGACACTCAGATCCCAATGGCAAGACTAGACTGGGACACACCTTACGTATGACCACAGTTATGAAGATAGAATTCTGAGCTGGCTGTCTGTACCTGGAGTCATGACATGAAGTTCTCACAGGTAACATTTTTGCTTGGGTACAATGATTTTATACCTTAAGTAGAATTACATTTGGGAGATTTCATCTCAAAATGTCAATTACAACCAAACAGCCCACGGTTTGGGCTAGCCAGGGTTCTAGCAGATAAAGGCATCTGTTATCCGATGACTTGAGTTCGATCCCTGGGACGCACATAGAGGAAGAGAGAACTGGCCCTCTCAAGTTGTCCTCTGATCATAAAACGCCCCAATAAACAAAGAATTAAAATGTACAGCTTCTAGAATTACTTGGCCGATGCGAATGTCTGAGAGCCATGGTCCTGGCTTTGCTCCTGGATACAGAGAGTTGAGACAGTGTGTGCTGACTGACCTGATTGCACTGCCTTGCTATCTACTCAATGCCCTGCCCACTGATTCCTACGTTTTTATGACTTAAAACTAAAGAGTTTTCCAAATACAGAGAGAAAAATGCTAGAAAGCTAACAAAACCTGATTTTCCTCCATGGGAGCAAAATTCTTTTTTATATGTACTAATTCATTTCATTTTAACACGAGTTAAGAATTATACTGATTATGATGTAATAAACCAAAAATGTTTTCTCTGTCAGGCGTGGTGACACACACCTCTAGTCCCAGCACTTGGGAGCCAAAGGCAACATGATGGCTGCCGGTTTGATGACAGTCTGGTCTACAAAGGGAGCTTCAAGCTATATAATGAGATCTTGTCTCAAAACAATACAATGGCAACACATTAAAAAAAAATAACCCCAAGGCTGACACAGGAATGTATTTGTTAAACTAAAAGTAAGAAATATATGAACATTAGGAAATGTTTCTACACCTATATACAGTTCAAAAGTACACAAGCAAATATTGCTTTTAAACATAAATATATAGGGAGAAAGAGGCACACCACTGTCTAGAGCTGCGTGTAATGCACAGAAGTGGTGAGTTGGCCCGCTAGGGCCAAGAGGCTGCACACATATTTCTGGCAGTGGTCCCGCTTTGAGGCATTTCTATGCCTTCTATAAGTCTGCCAGGCAAAGGAGCCAACCTCACAATGTTTACTGTTTTTTTTTTTTAGTACTTATACCCATTTCTATTCTAATAAGGCACAATTTCTATTCTAATTTTTTCCTGTTGCTATAATAAAAACACACCAACCAAAAAGCAGAAAAAGCAGCTTAGGGCAGGAAATTCTTTATTTTGCTGATAATTCCAGGTCACAGTCCAT